AACCAAAATATCGGAATTCTCTGATCTAATCTGGCTAGCGATTGCGGTTGATGTTGAGCACGGCGTTACCACACGTGATCTGGTGCGGATGCCTGACCGAGTGCCCTCAGCTAGATGAGTCCACTAAAACATATGGTCAGCATCCAATGTCGAAAACTTACAGGGCTATTTATTTTGGGGATTTATTTACCGCTACAGATCAATCCCCCCCTGGTGGGTTAGTGATGGCCCTAAGACGTGGCCAGCCAGAAGTTTAAACCCAGCGAGTGTGTCGTTGGTAAACACTCTTCTGATAGCTTGCTAGGATAAGCAGCGTCTGGTCGTCTTTCCTTACTATACAGGACCGAGGTACAACATAGTAAAAAAAGAAAATGTACAATGAAAATTTCAGTTCCTCATAAACGTCATCGTTCTTTTCCAGCCGTCCTGGAAAAGAAAAAAGAAAATGTAAGTGCATGTTGAAAAACACTCGTATGTGCGTAAAACACAATGTCGGCGAAAAATTGGGATATAAACTAATTTACACGTAATATCGTCAGAAAAATTTATTTATTATTATTTTTTTTGGAATAAAAATAAAAACATATAAGCATATTAAAATTGTTTTTTAATCTATTATATATCGTAAAAAGAAAGATTGAAATAATATTAAATGTCTAGTAAGGCCTTACGTGCAATAGTCGTTTAAATGCTCAGAAAATCTAACTCTTCTTCCAGAACGCGTCGTTTTAAGTATATTTTCAGATACATTCGGAGTATCATCGCTAGCGTTAATTGTCGGTTGAGGAATTATGAGTGGAGTCGTGTCGTTCGATTGTACCGAAGGAAAATCGACGTAGATAGGATTTCCTTCTAAATACGCTGCTTTGGGAAGATCGATGCTGATGCTATCATTGGTTCCGTTCTTATCGATTATATAGTACTTCGGTTCGCGTTGAAGAACTTTGAAAGGTCCTTCGTATGCTGATTCGAAAGATGGTCGATGCGAGTCTCGACGAACGAAAACGTGTGTACTATATCGTAAGTCAGGTTGAACGAAAACATCAGTTGATTGAGGTCGAGTGGAAGCAGGTTTAACTGAACGCATTGCGTTTGTAAGCCTGTTCGTGTAGGAGGTTAGATCCATGTTCATTGAAGAGGACGAGGGATCCACGAATTCTACTGGAAGTCAAAGTGTCGTTCCATAAACGAGTTGAGCCGCAGTGTATCCAATGTCAGCTTTCACTGCATTGTGGATACCTAGTAAGACGAGTGGAAGAGCGTTGGTCCACTGTGAAACGTTTGCAGCTGATAGTGAAGCCTTTAGATGTCGGTGAAAGCGTTCTACAAACCCGTTTGCTTGTTGGTGGTAGGCAGTCGTTCGAAGGCGAGTGGTTCCTAAAAGTGTGGTCAGACAACGGAAAAGTTCAGATGCAAACTGGCGTCCGCGGTCTGTAGTGATGGTTGAAGGGCAGCCGAAGTTTGCTACCCATCGTTCGACGAAGGTGCGGGCCACTGTTTCAGCAGTGATCTCCTTGATAGGTACTGCTTCTGGCCATCGAGTGAAACGGTCTACGCAGGTTAAGAGATAAGAGTATCCATTTGAATCTGGTAAAGGTCCTACCAAATCCAGAAACGAGCATCGGGAGTTTTAAATGAGCCTAAGGGACATTTATTGTATCTGATAACCTTAGATTTTTGGCAGCTTACACGGAGGCGTGCCCACTTCTTCACGTCTTTATTCATGCCAGGCCAGCAAAACCGTTCTGCTATGAGCTTGTTGCACGGACACCTGGATGAGAAAGTTTGTGCAACGTATTGAAGACGTTGCGTCGATAACGTTTCGGCACGATTGGGCGATCCCTACCTGTAGATGTGTCACACAGTAAGGTTTCCTTACCTGTTCCCATCTGTTTGATACGTAACTTGAGGGTTGTGGACGATAACTCGTGCTGAAGATCACTGTCTTCTTCTTGAAGCTCGGCGAGTTTAAGAAGGTCGATTCCTTGGAAACTGTTCAAGGAAGTTATGCGAGATAAGGCGTCTGCAACTACATTGTTTACTCCAGAGATGTGTTGCATCTCTGAAGTAAACTGCGAAATGTAGTCCAGTTGTCGAGACTCACGGGGAGAGTACTTGTCAGAAGGAGAGCTTAACGAGAAAGTGAGCGGTTTATGGTCCGTGAAAGGAGTGAATTCACGGCCTTCGACATAGTGTTGGAGATGCCGTACAGCACAATACATAGCTAGGAGTTCCCTACCGAATGTGCTGTACCTCGATTCGGTGTCTAGCAACCGTTTAGAGAAAAATGCCAAGGGTTGCCAGGAGTTGTTTACCCATTGTTGTAAGACGCCACCGATTGCCGAGTCGGATGCGTCTACTGCGATACTAATGGGTGCTTCGGTGTCCTGATGTGCGAGCATTGTTGCTTTAGCGATCAGTTCCTTAACTGTGGAGAATGCTTTTCGTGTGGTGTCGTCCAAATTGATGGATTTCGCATTTCCACGAAGTTGGTCGGTAAGAAGTTTCATAAGTAATGTGCATTTCGGTATGAAACTTTTGTAGAAACTTACGAGGCCGTCAAACGTGCGTAATTGCTTGACGGTGGTCGGTTCTAGGTAATCCAGAATGGCCGCCACTTTGGTTCTAAGGGGTCGGATACCTTGAGCATCGATAGTGTGTCTCAGTAAGTCTAATGAGTCGGTTCCAATTTGGCATTTCTGAACGTTTACAGTAATGCCATGTTTTGTAGTCGTTCGAAAACAAGATCCAGATGCTTGAGATGTGCGTCTCTGTCCGGATTTGCGATTAGGCAGTCGTCAACATACGCATGTACGAAGTTGAGACCTCGAAAGACGTCATCTATGAATCTTTGGAATGTTTGAGCAGCATTTCTTAGACCGAAAGGCATTCGCAAAAATTCATAGAGTCCGAAGGGAGTAATGATAGCTGTTTTCGGTATGTCGTCAGTAGCCATAAGGGTTTGGTTATACGCTTTAACCAAGTCGATTTTCGAAAAGACAGTTGTACCTTTTAAGGTAGCTGTTAAATCGTTAATGTGAGGCAACGGGTAACGATCGGGAATGGTTTTCGCGTTCAATCGCCGATAGTCACCAGTTGGACGCCAATCGTTGCTGTCCTTTTTAGGGACCATGTGCAACGGAGATGCATATGGGCTACTTGATGGTCGTATGATTCCTAAGTCTATCATGTGGTCGAAGTCGTTTTTCGCTAACCTTAGCTTTTCGGGAGCTAGTCGTCGTGCTTTAGAAAATACAGGTGGTCCTGTAGTCGTGATGTGATGTGTAACGTTGCTGGTTACACACGGTAGTTTCGGTTGAGTTTGTTGTATCCCAGGGTACTTATCGAGTAGTGGTTGATAGAGTGGGTCTATCATATGCTTAATTGTGGCTGGGGATAATTTGCAACCAGGAAAGGAAGTTACGCAAACGGACAAATCAGTGTTTCCGTCTACTAGCCTCCGTTTGCGCGTGTCGATGATCAGATTATGGTGTTGTAGAAGATCCATACCAATGATCGGCATAGAAACATCTGCAATAACGAAAATCCAGTGGATGGGTTTGCGTAAACCCACGTTAAGGTAAACGTACCTTTTGCCATACGTAGCGATCGGTTTTCCGTTTGCCGCCTGTAAGTTTAGGGTCGATTCGTGAAGTCAATCGTTGGAATTCGCTGGGAGAACGCTAAATTGTGCACCAGTGTCGACGAGGTAGCGAACTCTCGTTGTTACATCTGTGACATACAACAGACGGCTATGTTCGCCGGCTACGGTTGCCGTTAACGCGTGCCGGCTTGGAAGTTTCCCGAGTTGTTTTTCGAGTCAGTCGGTTTCGTGTTGGGGAATTGCAGGGTTTTCTGCAATTTCTGGAAGACTTTCCATACTGGTTATGATACCAGCACCAGTCGGGGTTATCTGTCTCTCGTGGTCTAGAGATAGATCGCTTACGAGAAATGCTTCTACGTGGTGTGAGCGATCTCTTACGGTCGGTACGAAGACTAAGATAACGCGTGAGTGTGTGACATAAGTCGTTTATATCATTCTGAGTCGTTTGAGGCTTTTCTTTGACTGAAAATACCTCGGTAGTAGAAGATTTCGTAATTTCTAAAATACGATCGGCAGATGCAGCCAGTTCGTCTAAGGCGTTGTTCTGAAACGAGACCAGAACTGCTTGCACCTATTGGGGAAGTTTAGACAAGAAGGGTTGTTTGAATAGACCTTCATCGAAAGTTCTTGGGCCTATAACCTCTATCATTCTTTGCAACATGTCCGTCGCAGAACCGTGCTGCAGATCTATGTTATTAAGGAGTTGGTCTAACCTTTGTCGATCGGTTAGGTCTCCTTGTTTAAAAATCGAACGTTTTAAGGTTTCGTAAGGTTCAGAAACATCACTAGTAAACATACTAGGTGTTACGTACCTGTTGAATTCGCGCGGTAGTGCCTTGACTACTGCAAGGAATTGTGTACGTCTGTCGTTCACGCCGTGCTCGTGGAAGTCAGCTTCTGAGTAGCAGAACCAGGCTTCGATATTGTCGGGCCAGAAGGGGATGAGTTGGGACGAGGGTGGGGACATGGTCTTAATCTTAAACACCTTGGGGGTCCGTTCGGTCATAATAATGAACGAGGGGAAAATATATATATATCCAAGAAAAAAATGACAATTTTTAAAAAAATAAAAAATAAGGCAATGATATATACAAAATCCCAAAAAGGAACAGACTCACAGTTGCAATTAGGTGTACCAGACCACGTCGGTCTCACCAATGAGGAATGACATAGGTATTCAGTGTTTGACAAAGCTTCTACCAGTAACACCTAATATGATTTGTACCCACCGAGAGAAATCAAAAGACAGAGTCGAGGAGATCGGAAGAGTGTATTTGGCGATAACCAAAATATCGGAATTCTCTGATCTAATCTGGCTAGCGATTGCGGTTGGTGTTGAGCACGGCGTTACCACACGTGATCTGGTGCGGATGCCTGACCGAGTGCTCTCAGCTAGATGAGTCCACTAAAACATATGGTCAGCATCCAATGTCGAAAACTTACAGGGCTATTTATTTTGGGGATTTATTTACCGCTACAGGGTGACCTAATGACTTACAGCATTTCATATACTCCTGGGCATCCCCTTAAACACAAACTTAAGCTTAGTCCTAATGAAAAAAATTGGGGTTCACACCCAGAAACTGGGGACAAGACACAGCAGAACGAGCTTTAAGCAGGTTTTCTACTCCTTAAGTGTAGTCAAATTCTATAATTCGCTGCAGACTGAGCTAGTCCAAGCAACTTCCCAGTAGTCCTCCAAGATAAACCTTGACATATTCTTAAGGACTACCTAATTTCTCACCTGCAGGCATCAGTGATCCACCTCTACTAGATACGGAAGCCCGTTAGACGAAAGCTTCTTCGATTCCGTCCAGAACCAATTGAACCATTCGGACGATTGACAGTGTGTAAAAAATCAATTCCTGCGCTATTTTAGTAGCTAATGTCACATTGGAGGGTTTTAGTACGTATTCTATTTTCCTAAGTCATAAACCTTAGCAATGGAGGGCGTTTGCTAGAGAATGGCTCATTTATGACTCTTTCATGCAGTGCCCTATGCTCTCGGCCGAAAGAATTGCGAAGTATTTGACGGGAAAGAATATCCGATACTATGACCCTAGTGGTACGTTAATATTGTGTCTTTATTTTTAGCCGACTTTGGGAGTCATGTTGTTGTGATCAATTCTAGACACATTGCTGCAAAAGATAATAGTCGGTATTGGAAACGGTTCTTATACACTACACATACAAGGTTTGGACTTTTTGATGCGAAATTTTTACTATAGGTTCCCTGTGAATCGTGTTGAAGAAACAATGGAGGAAGTTCACAGGCGTGATCCTACTGAGGTAGGTAGATAATTGTGAACTCACAAGTAGTTTTAATTCATGCATACTAAATGACAGTGTTTAGTCTGTCAGTAGTTTTGTAAAGTTATTCATTCTATTACTTATCGACCTTACTGAGTTTAATCATTATACTTATTTGTCAATGACAAAATAGGTACATCAATTAACTGACTCGGGATATTTCACTTCTCAGTTGGGTTTATAACTTACAGTGGCTTTCGGCTCCTTTTAATATACAATTCTTGATAGAAACTCCTCATTAACTATGAAATGGTGTGAGTCATGGTGATTTACACCACGCCTCTCTGCTAATCAACATTACCCCACTAGTTATTGTATGTTAGACCACCCAATCAGCCTTCAACTTAGATTTGTTATTAATACGCATCATATTTTGTACTTTTACATCACTGTCAGGTATCTTAAGTGATTTACACTACTCAGTGAATTGGAAAAAGAAAATGATCCCAGTTAATATCTTAAGTCACTTCACTTAACACTAGTTTCCACGAGGACAACACGCTACTTATTTTCATTTTATCCTCTATCACTTCAGTCTGACAGCTCATAATTTTTACATCTTTATTATAAGTTTAACACTATCAAGCAATCAATCGGTCTACTTATATATATATATATATATATATATATATATATATATATATATATATATATATATATATATATATATATATATATATACTACATGCAGAAATGTATTCCTACCCTTAGTTATTGAGCAACCTATTGCAGTAATACTAATTAAACAGAAGCGATCTTTTCTAAAGTCATATTCATTGATCAAAGATTGCTTTACTTCATATGCTAGGCTCTTTCAGTACTTTAACGATTATACTAATCGGCCTATCAAAACAGCAGTTACCTATCAGATTCTTATATCTGGCATCAGACTGGACTATTGATGACATCCTTTGACTTCTAAATGTTCCATCCGGACACATTACTGTGAAATTTTATTAGTATCTACTAGTGCCAGTATTATGAAGTGAAAGTCGTCTAAATTACTACTTTCTAAGCCTGAAATACCACAGTAGCCGTATAACTACTTGCTCTTAAGTAGATGTTCACGCATCACCAAGACGTTAACTAGACTACTACATGCATTTCCGATAATCAGTTTGAACACTACATCAAGCCTTCAACCCTGGAATCTTCCTTAATTATTCCAAGTTATCTCTTATAAAATATAAAGTTTGAGATGCCTTCACATCACAGGTATTTTTTAATACTAAAATAAGTCTTTTAAACACTGAAAACCATGGGTTATTTGTTTGTTTTTTATTGTGACGCTCATTTCTGTTCTCAGTATCAGAATCAATAAAAGCATCCTGGAGTTTTCTCATATATATGTATGTGATACATTTGGATGTAGTTGAGTATGGAAATTAAAGACTTCATAACCCTTGGATCTAGAAACACAATACGTGATAAGTGAAGCAACTAATTGCAGGTTAGATAATATACGCATAGTAATAGTAGTAGAGAAATAGTGTGTACAAATTATAAGGTTTTCGCCAGTTGGGTTCCTAGTGCTTTTAAATGTGATGTTGAAGTATTTTAATTAATAGTTGTGGTAACTTAGTTTCTGTTTATTGATGTTATGTTAGAGACTTTGTAATTGTACTGCTAATAGACGAGCAAATGCTGTTTATCAATCTTGGTTTATGAACAATATTTCTCAAAGTTTGGAACGTTTAAGGTCCAATCCTTCGCGATCTTCGTATACGTATACTTATTATTAAAAGTACATACCAAACGTAACAATAAAGTGTCGTAGCAAAATCCTGAGTCATACTAATTACTATACATCATCTCCACATGGAATTCCTACTACCTACGTAATTTGATACTTTAGATTATGCTATCTTAAGCGATCAACGAGGTCTTGGTATAAAGTGGGATCTTTAGAATTACATATACTAGTTCGGACCTCATCAAAGTTGTTGTCGTTTTGTATTTAGTTGCAATTAAACGTTGACACTATTCTGTTGTTACTATTATTACTTGTATTATCGGTAAAACTTAGATATTTTGTGTATTGACCTTTGCTGGCCTTCTTTCTTAAGGTGATTGGTTGGGCTTACGTCTTCTAAAAACTATAAAAATATCAACTTTTTAAGAACCTAATTAGTCACAACAACATCTCTATTAAGATTAATCTCGAATCAGTTTGTCGAAACCTTTTATCTTGATCACTCTGTTAATTAACGCCGTTGTTCCTGACGGAAAATATGACTCATAGTTTAGTCTACAAATCTTCACTCAGTACTTATTCAGACAAACAATTAGACACCTATTTATTTCTCGCTAATTGGTACTATTATTATAATACTTATCAGAAACATTCGTTTAATTGGCTTCAATCATTTTTTTAGGTATTGAGGGCTAGTTCTACCATTTGATTACTACCTGGGACCGAATGTCTGAAATTCTAACATATTAGCCACTGAGCCACCACCTCACCAGTCACTGTTCTATTTTTACTTGAAAAGTCATTTTATTAAATTTAATCTTAACCAACTACTCATTAAAATAGTAAGCCCTATCTAGTTTACGTTAAGTTGAGATTTCTATTTACTTATTTTTATGAATTCCTTGTTTTTTTATCGTCTCAGGTTATTCGTTTAGAAATTAAAGCCGTCTTACGAAATAATGAATCCCGTAAATATCAATTATCTCGTCTTCATATATACCCTGATAATATTGAAGTATTGATTAGTAATTGAAAATTAGTTACTGAATTTAGACTATTCCCAAGGACATTATTGCAAATATTTCAAGAGTAATACCACAAGTTATGAAAGTACCAAAACGTCTTGATGAATACTCTGCTGAAGAACTTAATGAATTTCCTAAACTTTTTGATTGGTTAGTCGCCTATAGAATTGTATTTTATGTCGGTTGCTATTTTATTTGCTTGTTTAGGGTCAAACCCTATAAAATCAATTGTTTTTAAATGTAAGTAGTTCAGAAAACCATGCAAATGTCTGGTACTTATGAATCTGTTTGAAAAGGCTCTGAAGTTAACGTAGTTCAAATTGATTGAAAATAAAATATTGGTTATTTTCGGAAATTGTTAATTAAGAAGATTATTCACTCTACATTTGAAAAACATCTTTAAGTCTATTAAATTAGTACATGTTTATTTTTTCACTGAAAATTAGTTGACAAAAATTGTATAGGTAAACAAATTGACATGAGCTCAGAAGCTGACACGGAAGAAAACATCAGTTGAATTTATCATTAACACTTTCCCAACATACTTCAGTTGATGTAACGCATTGGCGTACATAGTGATTTTACATGAGCAACACAGTCTACTAACTTCTGTACCGATGAAACTTACTAGTTGTCTTCGCAATAAGCTTTATATCAATATTTCAGGTGTCTTTTTGTGTTTTCTCTGGTCTTCATTCAATGATTGTCAGTTCACTTTGACCCAATGATTAAAATAATGACTTGGGTCAAAGTTTTACATCACTCAAGTAGTGTCTCCACCCCCTCCCCTCATGTACAAAAGTTCGACGTAAAACTTAATACATAAATGTTTATTTGTCTACTAAGACGCATTGGTTTAGTTTGTAAAATCCATATTCATATTTGTAAATCTATTGGAATAACCATATACTCACTAGCAACTAATATCGACGGTTGACTAGTGGATTTTATTTATGTCGGATGTAAGACATTAGAAAATTGTCATGCGATATCGTGGATTCATTGAAACTAAGAATGTAAACCTGACTCAGTTGTCTAAAAATTGGTCACCTCGAAACCTGTAGGTCCTGGGTTAGATTCCCAGTGGCTTCATTTATGCACACTGATAAGTAGTTCCATACCAGTTCGGAAAAACTCCAATGCTTCCTAACTAAGATCACTCCGTGATGTAAAAGATAAAATTTAACAATCTTCACAGACCCCGTTTATTAAAATAATTTCATGAATAAATATTTAAATTCATTGTCAGTTATCTGACCTAATCTTAATTTAACTACAACGATTGGTATTACTCACAATTCTTCGTCATTAAATTACTATTACATTAATGCGAAATCTAAAGTGTAGTATATGTATACAGTAATGCTATTCCATGTTACTTACATATATTCTTTGAGTGATATTTTCTTTCGAAAAATTCTTTCAGGCCCGAAGATTTTCATGTTGCCCCGCTTAGTTCAATTGCAAAGAAGCTGATAACCAGAGGATCAAAATAACATGCTGATATTGTATTACTGCATATCTGTATATTATGTATTATAGTAATCTAACTGTTTCCTTTTTTATGGTTTTGTTGTCGTTTTAGAGCATAAAGCTAACATTGATAATGAGTGTGAAGTTCAAAGAATTACAAATGGAAAAGATTAGATTTATACCGTAAAGCATACTTTGCAATCATTCTGTTCTTGTGCTTTATCCACATGAACTGAGATGTACTATTATCATGCCTGGATGTGTGTATACTGATTACAATGTATCTATTTTGATAAATAGTCGACAAAACTATGTTATAGTAACGACCTTCAGGGAACTGGTCATATTAAAGATGTCGTTTATCGAATTTCGTGCAAGATTCAAACCTTACTGAAGTATAGCAGGTATCTTGTTGAAAAATAAGAAAAAGTTGCTGATACTTAATTCCTAGAATGGTTAAAATTGTAAAAATTATCTTTGTTCCAACCACACAGAGAATGTAACATATTGCGTTGGCTAAATCACAAGAAATACCTGTATCTAATACATATTTTTCCTGGACGTACTTCATGTGATTCAGGGCATGGTCAAGGGTGCTTTTGTGACTGAAAATTATTCACTTACTCTATATACATATACTAACCCTAAAACTTCTAACCTCAAATCCTGTATCTACCAGGGCTCCTAATGCCTAACCTTAACTTTTGTTCGTCCATCAATCATGTTAAAATTGTTTATTTACCTAAGTTTCATTACTTTATTCTAAATCGCTTTGTAACTAAACACCTTTTTGGTTGAGTGATAGTCTTAAAGTTATCTCTGTAATTGATTGAGGTGATAACTCGACTTTCAATATCTAACGATAGCTTAGTATTTAAAACACTTATGGTATATACAAATATATTGCAACTGAACTGAACGTAATTTATTTAATGAAGGTTTAGGTTTTCATGACTCCGAATGGGCCAGGTTATTGAAAAAATGTTTAAATACCACATACGTACGTGAAAAAATACTCTATATACGACGTCAGATAATACTGGCACTCGTATATCTTCTAACGAATTGACTTACAAGCAGACAAGGGGTAATGTGATAATGGTTGTTAGGCAGGTTATTTTTGATTGTGTGCGAAGTTCGGTAAATATGGGACTTCCAAACCAGCTATTTATCATAGGATAAGTGTTTCATGTCAGATCGTACTATAATCTGATAGTGATACCTAACCCTCAAATGCCCTGGTACGACTGAGGGTGGGAGAGTCCGCTCTCCCTCTCGAAATGCTCTCACATGGCCAGGCGTTTACAGCCACTGCGAGGAAAGTCCTACCCACTACCTTTTCACAGCAGGCGTGTTGTTTACGGAATTGAGAGGACGAAGAGCGAATGTCTGGCTCTTTGACTGGGTTGATGAGTATGGGGGGTCCACCTAGGAAATTTGAAAAACTCTGATTCCGAACCAGTGGTGCACATGAGCTCCAGAGACCTGGTGGAACAAATGGTGTATGAACCTACTGTTGATCACCGGCTATCATGGGATGGCATCTCCCGACGCTGCTCCACTGCCTTGTGGGTCAGACCTTTAGGTCAGAGGCTCAGGATGTGGCCCTCTAAGAAAACCATCTGCTTCGGTTTAGCACCCGGGCAGTGCCATAGCCCACAAACAAATCGAGTGACTTGTGTGGCGCATATGAATTCGGTGCTCCTTTGTACCAATATTTATGTTCGAATAAATAAAAAGTGATACTTAACTAAACACCTTCAGCTTGGTATGGTTAGTATCACTGTTGAATGGTTAAAAGATTGTTCATTTTAGTGGGCTATTCACGACTACAAATATATACAGTGTACATCAGAAACCAGTTACAAAAGGGATGGGATTATTATATCAATATATACTAGCTACATAGTAATGTGTGAGTGAGATAACATAGTTAAAAGATCAGCAAAGAAACTAGTATTATTGTTTAGATGATATTTCTTTTTTGGAGCCGTTAGGTTCCCAGAACTCACTTGAAAAGTGACCTAATTTTGTAACTTTATTTTGAAAATTTGAATCCCAAAAGCGCTCTTTTCACTGTTATGTCCCGATAAGCATAATAAATCCATAATGGGATCCATTTGTGGACCAATACTATGTGTATATTTTTATCGTATAATTTTTAAATAACTAAACTATTCATATTCATGTCCCTCTTATTATGAGCTTTGTTTTGACCCATAGACTATTATTATACGATTTACTATTCTTTTATTATGCCCTGTCTATTAATTACTACCTCCCTCATTCACAGCCATCTTTGGCCAAATCTCGTATAAATGTTGTTTCCTATTTTATTGGTACGATGTGGTCTGTCTGGTTGATATATAAACCGAGTATATTTGAAATAAATGATTCATATTGTAGAGGCTGAAATCGGTGTTCTGGACTTAAATGGCTGGGCTAGGCACGAAACAGGGTCAATAAGGACTCTAGACTGCTCATACAAGTTTACGCGTCATTGATCCAATCGATAAGTCACTGCTCTCTAATTGGCGGTATCGTTACGTTATACATTAAGAGGGAGCACAGGTCACAAGTTACAGCATTCACTTTCATGTATTTCCCACTTGGGGGGATCTTAAACGCTATTGGTCCGTTGTGTCTTTTAGTATGCTATTTTATAACCCTTTCCAAGGACGGTTTTGTACTGTATATATACGTTTTGATTTGTGTCTGTTTTTGTCGCTCGTTCTTCTGGCTTTTCGCAGAATATAATTCCCCGTTCAGATTTCGACTTCTCTCTCTAATTAGCAGAGCTGGGACGCAATAGAATAGCTAGTTTATTAGTTGTTTTTTTTTACCACAAATCTTTGTTTCATTCACAGACTAAATAAACTCGTAACCACTTTAAACTTAACATTCTTCAAATCAAATCCCTTGATAAATGACAATAAACTCTCTCAAAATAGAACTTGTTTCCAAAACCAATCAGACTTAATTAAGTTGTCATTTTTTATTTTATTTCAAATAATAGTTCTTTTTTATATATAGATAAAATGAAATAGATGAAAAATAATGAGATAGTAAGTTATAAATAACCAAAACCAAAAAAAAAGGAACATGATGTTTATTAACTTATTGATGATGTAATCTTTATTGTTTTATACTTTAATAAAAGATAAAACAATAACAGAAGAATGATTGTTTTGTTTTGTTTTGTTTGTTTTCGACATTCATTTGAATAAGGAACTTTTGTACAGATTAAAACAAAGAAACCGTATGATTATAATATTTTTTTAGATTTATTTCATTTAAAAAACAAACAAACAAACTGATCCTTATTAAGAAAATCTATGAAGGTACAATATTATTATCTTAGTAACTATGAACATGAGAAGTTAATATATGTGATATTATTAGTGAATAATTATATCATTTTCATTAGATAATGAACACCTTGACAACAAAATAAAACAAAACCAAAAAAAAGGAACAGGTTCTTTTTATTATAAATATCAATCATTTAAGATGATTAAATTGATATGTAGAAAAAAATTTTTTTATTTTGTTTTATTTTTTTTATTTGTTTATTATTAAGTATATCGTATTTTTTTTATAACAAAACCTATTTTGTATGGTTTCATTATTGAAATATGAAATAATTCCTTTATTGAAGTAAGTAAATTTGAACTCTTGTTACCTACCTAACTACTTACTTACACACATACATACATACATACATACATACAAAACATGGACAAATGGAGATGAAATGGAAAGAACAACACAACAATATATTTCATAAAACCCCGAAGAAGAAGAATTTACAAATAGATGAATAAAACATGCAAAAGTAGAGAATAGAATCACTGTACAATGATCACTTAACTTTTCCTTCTTTAGATAAATTTGAAAAGAAATTTATTTTTAGAGCAATATCTGATTTTGTAATGGATGTTGCATTTTTTGATTTTGTTGGAACTTTATGAAAATTATGATGTGTATTAACAGTTGTTGTGTCTGTTGTTTTACTATGACTACTAATAAGATTGTTAGTAGTATCAGTTGTGTTCAATGTTGTTTTTGTTTTACCAATTGATAATTTCTCTTTTTCATTGGTTGTATTCTCTATTGATTTTGTTAGTGGAGGATTAGAGGTTGAGATTGGTGGTAACGGTGATGTTGATGTGGAGGATTTTTTATCTTTTACAATGAAAGGATTTGATTGTTTCACATTTGATTGTATTATTTTTGATGCACTATTTTTTTTCTGAATTTTAAATATAGATGATGACGAAGTAGAAGTGTCCTTTTGTTGTTTGGGAATGGGTACAACTGTTTCCGATTTACTTGAGGATCTGGAATTTGGTTCACTTGTTATACTAATTTTAGGTATAATTGACGGACTATCTGATGATATTGACTGTTGACTATTTTTATGCCGTTGCAAAACAAAACCTTTACCACTCTCTTTACGTTTTAATTTAAGTGATAGGTCTAATTTATTTTTATGCGATGTTGACGGATCTGATAAGTTTTCATTAGCTTTATTTTTAGTTTTAGTTCCATTATTACTAGTACTATTAGTAGTGGTGTCATCTTTTCGTGTTTTACCAAAGAAACTGGTTTTTCTAAATATACCTGAAGTTTTCTTCATTAATTTTGGTGAACTTTCTTTACTAACTGTTGGGGGTGGTGTTGGGCTACTTGATAATAATTTATGTCCAGTGACTTGTGGAAGTTTAGGTCGTTTAGTTTCATTTTCAAATGATCTATTTATGCCATGTATAGACAGACTTGGGTGTCTTGAATGCATTATAGGCGAGTGTTGTAGTACAACACCCATACGTTGTAATGCTATAATCGCATTTACTGCTTTCTAAAACGAGAATAAATGCAAAAAAATCAAACTGTCATACGAAAGCTCCATTTGATAAATAAAACAGCAGCTGATAACATGAATTAGGAAAACATTAGAAAATCTCTTAGTAATTCTAGATTTCAAACCAATTCCATTGGTAATTTTGATTCAAATATATTGATAGTTTGGGTCTTCCCATTGATGTTTAGGACTATAATTGATCAGTCTCTGCACTTAGTAACTTAGTGGATAACGCGATGGCGTTTGAACAGAAAGGTAATGGGTTCAATTCCCTCAGTGGCAATCAAATTTGGGATGTGGTGGGTTCATCTGACGAGTCCCAAACGGG